ATGTCAACAAGATGGGGCAATCGCAGTGCAAGAGCAGAGAGCTGAGGATGAAGAGCAGGAACGGAAAGAGGAGGCGAGGCGACAAAGCGAGAAACAGGAAGCCGAGAACAAGCGCCCTGCATTTACCTGGCTCCCCATCTACCAAAGTAAGTATTTTCACAAGAAATGACATTCTTATCCTGGTTCTAATGAAAATTTTGACGTTTATTATTGACTGCCTAACTCATACCTTATTATTTGTAAGTTTTTGTTTTATCGATCATTTCATTAACTTGCATCCTATTCTTTTTTATATTCAGATCACATACTTTTCTTTACTTCAAGTGCTATCAATATATGCGCCCTCTTGTCCATACAATAATGAGTCTTTTCTTATTGCCTCTTTTAGGTCAGGCTAAGATGTGCGCTATCGATACTTAAGTATAATAATAGAAAAAAAGGCTTGGAATTTAACTATTTCATAGATGTACACTATAAGATAACAAATTTATGTGCCAGTTTATTTCGTCATATCTCTCTTAATCGCTGCCTTTTGTGTTTACGATTTATTTGGCTGACCGTTCACATGCTTTTCATTTAGATGGCCTATTTGTTGTTGCAATCTCGTGATTTTTACAGTGCTGGTAAAGCCCCATCAGGCCTCCTGGGTGGGTTTCAAATAATTAGGGTTCGAACACTAAAAATTTGCTAATAATAACTCTACACTGCACTTCATGTGCTTAGCTGTCACTCGGGTGCCTCCCAGAAACTACTGATTGATGTGCATTCTAGAATCCAGGCCAAGGCTTTTTTATGATGCTCTGGTCCACTCAGCCATTATATTTCCGCTAAAGTTCACTTGTATTTAGCCTCTGTTCCGTTTTAATGCTCGTATATGCATGCGACTTTGAAAACTTGCAGCGAACGTTCTAACTCAGCTAGCCCTATTGCAAGATCATCCAAATTATGTGAATTCACCTCTTTTTTCCTTTTACGATTAATTCCATGTCGTAGTTGTCCCTCATAATGTTATCTGTACGCAATCATGGGTCATTCTAAGTTGTCCTTTTGTTTCCTCCTTTCTTTGCTTATTGAACTCTTGTCCCTGTGTACATATCGCGTACGGTGCATACACGCAAAGTCCAAATTCAACTATGAATATCACGTTTATAGACGCATGAATTAATCAATCACTTACTTATTTGCATACTCTACGCTGCACATGTCACGTTATCAAGTCATTGATCCATTTATTGCTTTCAGTGCATATTTTGTCCATGCATATACTGCTTATCTTTGTTTGCTCACTAACATGCATGTTTTGGACTGACTCCGCTTGCCCTCGTCTGACACGATCATTTGGCCCCGTCGCTTTGCTCCGCAATCGTCAGTCCGCCTGCTATGCTCTTAAAGCGCGTCAACTAGGCCACGTGTTCACTCGACCACAACTAAGCACCAGAGCGGAAGGTTTGGTTTGTGAGGCCTCAAGATATCAATATTATTTAAACAGATTCCAAGGTCTACTGCTTATGGGCAAGCAATGAAATCACATTTCATTTTCGTTCAATTTCTGGACCTGTTTTGGTGGCAGGTGCTTCATGTGAAAGCCTCTTTTTGCGCTGCTCTATCTGACATTCTAGGCTTCCTTAGGCACTAAAGGGAATAACTGGTTTTATAGTATGGATATCAATGCTTCCACTCGACTCAGTTCTTCACTTTTTGTTTAAGGTGGTTAATTCTTCATCCTGCACACTTTCGACTGCTGTCATCTTCGGTTTTTTATTGGTATTTTTTCGCTGGCTAAAACAGTACTTGGGCAAGTATAGGAGTATGCTGAAG